TGTGTGTGTGTGTGTGTGTGTGTGTGTTTACGTCTCCACCGCTGTCTCTCTGTCTTTGTCCGCAGACACGGATGAAGATGTGCGCCGTGCAGCTGCTGCGGGTGTCGGTCCATGAGCGGATCAGCGCCGCCGCTGAAGACTTCCTGCTGCGGCTGGAGAAAGCGAGAGAAGCGGCTGAGATCCCGGAGCTGAGAGCGCTGCTCACCGAGCGGTTAACGGCGGCTGCGGAGGAGATCGTCGGTCTGTTGGAGGAAACCGTGGCGGAGTACGAAGACAGAGTGGAGCGGTCAGAGCGGGAGATCTGCCGCCAGAGGAGGCTGCTGGATGCTGTGCTGAAGCCTGAAGTCCGGCTGCACCGAGCGGGTCAGTCCCGGAGGAGTGGGGGGAGAGGGGGGGGGCTAACGGATGTTAACAGAGGCTAAAAGGGGATTTCTGGTTGTGCGTAGACCGTACGCACGTAGCCTACGCCGTTGTGAGCATTTTTACTTGTGTGTCTGTGTCACTCTGCAGTTACACCTCCAAAACACTAGTCGGCGGCGGAGGTTTCTGTGAAGTGCTGTAAAGTTTAGTTGGTTCTAAACACACATTAAACACACATTAAACACACAGTAAACACACATTAAACACACTTTAAACATGGCTTAATAGAGACAGTTTCAAACACAAATCAGCTTCACTATAACTCGCAGCATTCACAGACAAACACTTGTTTTTATCTGGACACATTTTCCCCACAAATACAACATGCTAACATTATTAGCACATGTCTATGGCATTTTACATTGTATAAATTAGCCTAGCAGCTAGCAGAGATTTCCTCTGCTCATATGAAACATGGATAAAGACTTAAAATGTTATTTTAGTGGAGGCTTTATTGTCTTCACAATTTATTGTTTCTTATCTGTGAAATTAAAGTAAATCAAAGCTTTGTTTCCACTGAGGGAAATGGTTTCAGCTCACAGAGACAGACAGGAGGTCTGCGTCGCTGTGACACTGTGGAGTTACATTTCTGGGGAGGTGCACGTCAGGCTATGGCGTAGGTTACGGCATAGGCTCTATGTCGACGTGGAGCCTTTGCCGTAACCTACGGCGTCGAGTCAAGGCAGAACTATAAAATGCGTGTAATGCTGCTGTTAATGCCTGTAACGGCGCGTGCCGACCAGTTTGACACTTTTCACTGACAGGTACGGGCCGGCACAGGTAGTTAGTGTCATGACGTCACAGTGTAGGGTAGCTGACGTCATGCTGTAATCCCTAAGCTAACGAGGCTATCTGATTCTCCTGATCAATATGTAATCAGATCAATAACCAGTCAGTTCAGTATGAATGTAATGAGGATGTTTCATTCATAAAAGAGTCAAACAGTTTTAATCTTTATCGTTATATTGAATTCATTCATATGAACTCCTCTGTGTCATGTGACTGAACCTATTAATAAATAACAATTATCATCAAAACAACACTATAAAACTCATTTTATTGTTATTGATCAGCTGACGATTGATCAATAACTCAGTCAGGCAAAAAGACACCACCACCATGTGTCATGTGACTGTGTCATGTGACCATGTGTCATGTGACCATGAATCATGTGACCATGTGTCATGTGACCACGAATCATGTGACCATGTGTCATGTGACCATGAATCATGTGACCATGTGTCATGTGACCATGTGTCATGTGACCATGAATCATGTGACCATGTGTCATGTGACCATGTGTGATGTGACCATGAATCATGTGACTATGTGTCATTTGACCATGTCATGTGACCATGTGTCATGTGACCATGAATCATGTGACTGTGTGTCATTTGACCATGTCATGTGACCATGTGTCATGTGACCATGAATCATGTGACCATGTGTCATGTGACTGTCATGTGACCATGAATCGTGTGACCATGTGTGATATGACCATGTCACTGTGTCATGTGACATGTATCACGTGACTGCGTCATGTGACCATGTGTCATGTGACCATGAATCATGTGACCATGTGTCATGTGACCATGTCATGTGACTGTCATGTGACCATGAATCGTGTGACCATGTGTGATGTGACCATGTCACTGTGTCATGTGACATCTATCACGTGACTGCGTCATGTGACCATATGTCATGTGACTGTCATGTGCCATTTGTCATGTGACCATGTGTAATGTCGCATGTGACTGTCATGTGACCATGTGTCATGTGACTGTCATGTGCCATGAGTCATATGACCATGTGTTCTGTGACCTTCTGTCATGTGACCATGCCATGTGACTGTGTCATGTGCCATGAGTCATGTGACTATGTGTCATGTGACCATATGTCATGACTGTCATGTGACCATATGTCATGACTGTCATGTGACTATATGTCATGTAACTGTCATGTGCCATTTGTCATGTGACCATGTGTCATGTGACTGTGGCGACCATGGAAGCCAAGTTTCAGCCTCGCTGCCTGACCACGACCCGTCACAGACGACTCGTTTCATTCATTAATTGAAATGATGGTTATTAATTAATAACCTCAGAGAGAAACATAAATCATGCCAGTTCATTTAAATAATTAATAATATTGGTCACTTTATTTCGATGATCAGATGATTAAATGAAAACATCAAGTTCATAAAATCAGTTTCCTGCTGTTGGGGCGGCAGTAGCTCAGTCCATAGGGACTTGGATTGGGAACCGGAGGGTCGCCTGTTCAAGTTTCCATCCGGAGCAAATATGGAGCGTCGACTGGTGGCTGGAGAGGTGCCGGTTCACCTCCTGGGCACTGCCGAGGTGCCCTTGAGCAAGGCACCGAACCCCCCAATCGCTCGGGGCACCTGACCAAGGCAGCCCCCTCACTCTGACATCTCTCCACTTTGTGCATGTATAGGTCCTGTTTGTGCATGTGTGTGTTCGGACCTATATAAAAATATTTATTACATTTATTTATTGCAATTTTAAATCATATTTATATTTAAACAATAAATAATGATTTTTATATTTCTCAATTTTTAGATAACAATAAATAATATTTATACTCATTTTAAATAATAATTGTAAAAATTTTTTTCTTTGGGTTCGGAGCTGAATCAATCAATCAGTAATAATCACAAATGTCGTCAATAAATGATGACTTTTACAAATAATCTCAAATTTGACTTTAAATCTTTTAATTTTACACACAAACCTCTGAAATATTTTTTTCTGCTGTCGAGACGATTAGACAACAAACAAACAAACAAAACCTAAATAACAGGTCACAGATCTAACACATGATGTTTATGACATGAAGAATCATTTTTACGTCCCAGCAGCGATCTGTGGTCGTCTGAACGCTGATGTAAATGTGTCTTTTCATTGATCAGGAGACGAACAGGAAGTTGACCTCAGAACCAGAACTGACCCATTTACTTCCATCAGCTGCTGCAGCGCCGGATAATTCCTGGACGGCTCCATCCAGTCTCCAGGGACTCAGAGTCTGCAACCAGAAGCTAATCTGTGCTCTCCCCTCCCCCGCAGACATCCAGCAGCTGTTGGTGGTTAAAGAGGAGGACCAGCAGGTCCAGGAGGAGTAGGTGGACTAGGAGGACCCAGAGCCCCCACACATTAAAGAAGAACAGGAGGAACCCATGCCAGGAGGGTCTTCTGATGTTGAGACTGACGACAGTGACGATTGGATGGAGACCAGAGAACCTCCATCAGGTTTAAAGAAACCCTTCAGCTGCTCCGAGTGCGGGAAAAGATTTTGTCGCAGGACACACCTGAAGACACACAAGACAACACACACAGGAGAGAAGCTGCCCTGTCTTTATGAAATCTTTCAGAGTCCGATCACATCTACAGACATACACAAGAATCTACACTGGGGAGAAACCATTCAGCTGCTCAGAGTGTGACAAAAATTTTTTTTACCGGAACGGGGATCTGAACCGACACATGAGCTCCCACATGGGAGAGAAACCGCTCAACTGCTTTGAGTGTGAGAAAAGATTTGGCTACAATAATCTTCTAAAGATCCACATGAAGACTCACTTGGCGGAGAAACCGTTCCGCTGCTCCGAGTCTGAGTGCAGAAAAAAATTCAGCAGCAGGGGAAGTCTGCAGCAACACATGAAGACGCACGCAGGAGAGAAACCGTTCAGCTGTTCAGTTTGTGGTGAAAAATTTGCCTGAAAAGAACACGTGACTCTGCACGCAGCAGTCCACGCAGGAGAGAAACTGTTCAGCTGCCCTGAGTGCAGGAAAAGATTCATCCTCAGGAACTCTCTGAATAAACATTTCAGGATTCACACGGGAAAGAAACCGTTTGGCTGCTCTGATTGCGAAGAAAGATTTTCTCATTTGGAGAATCTGAAGCGGCACGTGACGAGTCACATGGGAGAGAAACCATTCAGCTGCTCCCAGTGAGGAAAAGCTTTCAAGGGAAGTCGACAGTTAAAGCTTCATTTTAAAACTCAAACAGGAGAGAGACCCTTCAGCTGCTCTGTCTGCAAGAAATCCTTTGCGGCGTGCGGAAGGCTACGCCGACAAATGAGAACATACACGGGACAGAAACCATTCAGCTGCTCAGAGTGTGGGAAAAAATTTGGGCATAATAAGATTCCGATGGATCACATGATAATTCACACAGGAGAAAAACCGTTCAGCTGCTCTAAATACAGAAAAAGATTTGGCACCAAGACGCGTCAGAGGAGACACACAAGGACTCACTCAGGAGAGAAACCATTTTGCCGCTTGGTCTGTCAGAAAACTTTTAAAGAATGGACATGGCAAGTCCCACAGTAACAGAGGTTTCCTGTACCAACTTTGATCATTTTGTCGATAGCGCCGTAGGCTTGCTGCGAACAACACTTGACTCTGTAGCTCCTCTTAAAAAGAAGTTAAAAAAGCAAAGAAAGTTCGCTCCTTGGTATAACTCTCAAACCCGTAAGTTAAAACAAATATTGCGAAAATTTGAAAGGAATTGGCGATTGACCAAACTGGAAGAATCTCGTTTAATCTGGACAGACAGTCTCAAAACTTATAAGAGG